CCAAATGGGCAGCATATGAAGAGGCCTCAAAATTGAATGGAAGCTTATGCTACTGGGCTTGGGCTGTAAAAAATAAGCCCATTCACAGGAAAAACCCAAGATATATCATATATCCTGGGTTTTTTCTGTCACTGTTTGGTGCTGTTGCTGTACATGTATATGTTCTAAGGTTTTTAATAATAGTTTTTCATCTGTACTGTAAAAGATAGGGCTTAGCCCTGTTAGCCCATATATACCAGCTGTCCCTGAGAGAGTTATATTTTTGATAATATACCTTTCCTTTTGCTGATTAATACTATTTTGCTGCTGCTATTCCTACTCCATATTCCTACCCCATTCGGCCAGAGAAAAACACGTGCATGTACAATGTTAGTGAAACCCGACTGACCGTCAGCCCAACTGGCGATATATTAATATTAAGTTTCTCTCTTTCACTGAACTAAAACCATCTTAACTGGAGGGAGAGCAAGTGCGATTACTTACTTGCAGGGGAGCGGCAGCCATCAGTCACCCAGCACGTTAACTGGGGCTTACTGCCTTGTAAAACACATCATTCATACTCTTTCCGATGAGAATCACCAACTCTGGTTTGGTCGCAATACACCCTTAATTCACAGATTTAGATGTGATAATTCTGGCTCCACATGCTGCAGTTGCTAGTGCAGTACGAGAGTCTGTCGCTGGTCAGCGGCTCTAACTCCACTTCGGAGGCAGGCATTTAGCTAAAGTAGCTAAGTAAAAAGTAAAAACATCTTCCGAAAATCCCAACCTGAGATGGACTCGCTGATATCCAATAGCCCAACCGCGTTAGCTAACAAATTTTAAATTGTTGTTACTTTTCGTTACAAACCAAACCAAAACATGTTCTTTTCACTTCCCTTTTCCTCTTCCATTAATGAAATGGCTTACTCTGGGACCCCTCGAACATGCAAAAACTCTATTATATCCAACATTTTCCGTCAGTGAATCTCTTGCTAAAGTTGGTTCCTAGTAGAATAAAGTCAGAAGTCAAAATTCTGTGTTAATGACATGGTGTACATCAGAGAACTCAAACAGCTGGCTGTCACCACTTCTGAGAGGGAACTGTTGTTCTATGATTGTACTGGGTTCCCTACAACAGAGTTAATACCATGAACTACTGGTCCGATGGAAAAAAAGCAGTGTTTTCCTTTGGAGATATTAAAGGTTGTTTGTCAGCATTTATCTCACACAACATAAAGAGTTGTGGTCTTTTCCCCAAGGAGGTTTACGAACACCCCTCTATACAGGATTATCCAACTGCTTATGTTCGAAAACTGCTTAAACACCATTCCAAGGACTTTTTGTCATTTGAAGTCCCCATCTTCGGTGATGTGTGCAGTCAGATCCGATACTTTCCATTACTTGACTCATTTGCCATCTGCGGTAGTTCATCCAAAACAATGGTCCTCGCTACCCTACCCAAGCTGCCCAATACCAAAGTCTCTAAAACCATCTTTGAAAGCCACGGACATGCAGAGTTTTTCACCTGTGTTGAATACTCCCCTTCGGCTGGGTATCTGATGACTGGTGGTACAGATGGCTTATTGCGGGTGTGGTTTCTCCACAAGACCATGTCGTGTGAACAGGAATTATTCGGACATGTCAGACCCATTACCCATGTTATGTACAATGGTGTGGAAAAAACATTTATCAGTTTATCAGACGACAAGATCGCATGTGTGTGGTCTGAGAATGGCTGGGTGTGCCGACAAAGCTTCCAGGCTGAAGGCATGGGACGGGCCCCTATCTCAAGTGTGTGTCTTAACATATTCAACAATGAGTTAGTCGTGGCTAACTCAGATATAGGAAAATGTCTTGGAAGAGGAACAGATGTTTTTAGAAATACATTAACAACACATGAGAAACCCTTGTGCTCCACTCTCTATCACAGCATTTTCAAACAGGTTGTCTCTATTTGCCAAAACGGTGTGGTGACAGTTTGGGATATCACAACAGGAAAAGCTGTGATGCAGTTCAGTGTCACTCCACAGTCCACGCACGTGGGGCTTATTGCCATCTCATTTGATGAACCACAGCGCAGAATATTCACAGTTTCCCAGGATGGGAAAGTGAGACTGTGGAACTTTAACAATGGAACAGAGCTTGGTGTTCTTCCTGTTACTGTGCCAAAGGAGGTAACAGGTATCGTCTGCATAAACGATAGGATATTTGTGTCTGGAAGAGACTCCAAGAAAATTTTTGACCTGGATATCGAGGGATATGAAAACAGATTTTTGGAGCATGATTATTTAAATGACGTTACCTCAATGGATGTGCATGAAGACGCACTGGTTACTGCCTCCAGCAATGAAAATATTGTTTTCTGGAAGACAGAAACTGCAGAAGTTCTCTACTGGATTAATGCCAGGATAAGCTCTCGAACACAAATGCCAGACAAAAAAACCGCACAAGGACGATCATGGAGTCTACCGGTTGACAAAAAGCAAAATAATGTCAAAGACACTGAGAAAAAAGCCCAATGTAAAAAATCCACAGCTAAGACTGTGAATTCAAACCCTCTTAGCCCTCTTATTATATGTCTGAAGACCGAGAAAGGGCCACAAATGTTCACACAGCCACACTACTGACTTCTGCAGGATGGCTTCATCTATGCCTGGTCTGTTAAAAGCAACGGGGGTCTGTTAGGAAAGTTCAAGGCAGTGAAATGACGGAAGGTGCAGTCATTACCACCAATGTCAACCGATGTCAATGAACATATACTACTAGCTGGGGATAGTACCGGAAGGATTTATCATTGGGACATACAGGGATTTGGCTTTAAAAGACGGGAAGACAAAGGGCGGTGTGTGTCCCTGTGTCCACCTCCTCTGTTGGGGACCTGGCAATCTCACCTCACAGCAGTGGTGAGTGTTAAGTGTGACCCTGACTGTAAAAACATAATTACTGCAGGGTTAGACTGCAATGTCTGGAAATGGACAAACACAGGCCGCTGCATAGGCCTCTTTGGGAGGGATGAATGGCATTCTACCCAACTCAGCCCTGAGGAGGATGCTGACCAGAAACCGGCAGCAAGACCTGGTACGGCAGAAACAAGAAAAAAATCAAGAACGTCTCAAATGCCACTTGAGACTCCAAGTTTATCACCGCCCACATCTCCACTACCAGACCTACCACCTATACGAAATTATCCTCCAAAATTTGAGAGGCTCTATCAAGACATTACAGACACATTAACGATAATTGACATACCAAGTGATGAGGAATTGTTTAGAAGGTATCGGAAGTTGATGAAGGTTAAACCAGAACCTGATAAAATGAACGACGAGGAGCAGCATCAGTCCAAGAAGGACAAACAGCAATTCACTAGAAAAGGAAAGCAAACGTCAGCACATACATCAAAGGTATCTCCATTAAAGACCACCCCAACCACAAGCTGCACTACTGCATCAGACAGCTCTCCACACATGCAGCAATTTGATGGTGCGGTCAAGCTGCCTAAGTTAAAATATGGACGTGTGTTCAAGATTCAGCAGAGACACACATTAAAAGACATTTCTGAACACACTTCAAAGCGTGTACATTTACCACCCATCTCTGATACAGTGCAGCTTACACATAGTCAGGCTCCTCAGGCACCTCAGGCTTCGCTCACCACAGGCCGCAATAGTGCTAAGAACTCACCGCACATGCAGCTACCGGTTAATACAGTCAAATCAAGGCCTGAACACAGTTCAAAGCGTCTGCATTTCCCACCCATCTCTGACACAGTGCAGCTCACATGTGGTCAGAGTCAACTTAAGACCAATCCACCTCAGGCTTCGCTCACGACAGACCGCACTAACGCTACAAAGAGAAGAGCTCACCACAATTCAGCAGGAGGACTCTTTAAAAAGTGAGGTCCAAATATGGAAGGGTTTTTGTTCGGGTTTACTCCGGGTGCTCCGGTTTCTTCCCATAATCCTATTTAATATTATTGAATTAATATGAATAAAAAAGAATAAAAACAACACACCCTCCTCAGAACATAGTCAGCCACCACAGCTGAGTAGGTTCAGCTCACATATCATCAAGCCCAGTTCAGGTCACATGAACTTCAGGGCCCGCTCACCACAGGCTGCACTAACCAAGAGCTCACCAACGGCTGGTTCGCACTGCCGACCTGAGCAGCGCGTGTGTGTGGCGGAATGTTTTGCTTTGAAGCGCTGCTCAGGTCGGCAGTGTGAACTAAGTCGGAAATTCAGCCAGAAAGTACGATTCTTACCATGTCCAATCACCAGCTTAGGCGGAACCTTCTCCATGTATTTGAAACAAATGAGGTCCAAATATGGAAGGGTGTTTGTGTGGGTTTTCTCCAGGTGCTCTGGTTTCCTCCCACAGTTCTTAATAAATTAAAATCTATTAAATAAATAAATATTAATATTGTTATCATTTGTTTAACCGTTTCATTGACACACATGACTCAATTGGCTATTAGCCAACATTTTTGCACCACCAGAATTTGTATAAAAATTACTGCAATGTAGTGGTGCAATGGATCACAGTTGATCCGTGATGCGTATGGAGTCTTCAAAGCTTTCTTTAAAATATGTCGGTCAGTATGACTTTAAGAACTTTAGTGTTGAGCTATTTTCTTTTGGAAAACACAAACCTGTAATTAATTAGAGAACAAAGCTCACATTGTCATAACTAGGGCTGTCACTTTTCATTCAAAATTGTGAGTGTAAGGGCACTCCACTATCAGCTTGACTCATGGCATTCCTGTTGTGCTATGTGCCATTGCAACGTAATTTCATTTTGATGCAAATCCAAATGACAAATAAAGTCTGTCTAAGTCTAAGTCTTGACCAAAAAGCACCGGTGGAAAGTGGCTTAAGGTTAACCACATTACATAAATATGCTGATATTAATTGTGAATGCCATTTAGTAAACTAAAAACTAAACCTATTTTTAAGTTATTTTGAAACAATTTTTTCAATTAAGCCTCAACCTTCTGAATTTTAAAATCTTTTAAAGGGCACATGATTTACTGATGCTTAGGTTGTAAAACTACAACTACAAAACAAAGATAAGATAAGATAATAAGATACCTAATTCCTTTATTTATCCCCCTAAAGGAGAAATTCATTTTGACACAGCAGCCAATAGGGCAAAAGCCAGCGCAAAACAGAAAACAAAGTATATCAACAGTAAAAAATATTGCTAATATTATTAATATTAGAAGATATAAAAACTATAAAATTAAAGTATATACCACTATTTGTTGTTCAAGTAGGACATGGAGTCCAAAATATGAGCAGAAAATTAAACTTGACTAAAAACTAAAAAACTAAAACTAAACTAAAACTACTAAACTACTAAAGTGGAAATTAAATATAAATAGTGCAAAAGGTTTGTGCGTTGTAGGTAGGAGTTCTATACATGTTACACAACTACAATGAAACATGTGCAACAATTTCTTCTTCACAGGTTTCCAAATGAGGTTACAGTTAGCCCATGTAACTTATACAGACCAACAAACAAACAAACATTTGCTAGAAAAGTGTGTTAATGTAGAAAGCAGCCTATGCTAGCAATTAGCTTGTATGATTAGCTCAGCAGCTAGTTAGCTCGTCTCATAAGCTGACGACAACAAACCTTTAAACAGCATTCTTGGAGCACATAATTAAAGATGTAAAGAGAGAAGGACAGAAACAGAGAAATACATTTGCCAGTCCATTGGCACTATGTACAAGACTGCAAGACTGACAATGTTACGCTTTTACATTGCAACCAAGCCAAAGGAACTTAAAGATGTCAGGAAGTCCAGACTGCTTTAGAAACATCTGTTGACTCTGGAATAAGCTTTGGTCCTGTTAGGGATTAGTCATTTCAATATATTTTAATACACATAGATGTGAAAGCCTGCATTTTATAAAGCTAATACACACAAAGATAAACACAGGCACATATTCTCTTCTCTGCTTGCGAGCTACAATAGCTACAAACACCTGAGCGTTTGGAGGAACAACAGGTTATCTTCAAGGTCGGAACACGCAGTTCTGACAGTTGCTTTAGTTTCATAAAGGATATTATAAGGAGGGGTAGCAGGGCGGAATTACTCATTTTTGTTTTAGGGTGCTGTCTCCTCAGAATTGGTTGGGTCGTGTGCCAAGAGGCTGGGACCAGCCAGTGCACCAACAAGGAAGCACCAAGTCTAAACCACGGTTGTTTCCCATCATATAGTCCACCAATCACATTGCTTACTATAATCAAATATAACCTCATGTAACCTTTGGTCATGACTCTTTTTGGGGCGAGGAAAGACAGAGTAACAGCACTCCGCTGACTGTGGCTTCTCAATCCA